CTCTAATTTAAAGTTATTTTGTATTGATTAATAACTGTAAGAATAACTTACATTTGCGAGTTTAATTTCAAATTCAAGTGATTCTTTTAGTTCAATATGGGCTCGGTCTGGATTAGCTCCGAGAATTATAGCGATATCCACCATGTACTTGTAATATGCCTGGACGATTTTATCGTAAAAACCTTTCAACAAATATTCGCGCGAAAGACCGAGCGATGCTTGATCGAGCTATAAAGAATTATAAATTTTTATTTATTGTACTGATTGGAGAAGTGCCACATTCGGCTTCGAAAAAAATATGTATCATTTTATACATATATCACTTTACTTATTATTATTTCTCTTTATATATGATTTTTTATTTATAAATTATGATCTTCATACCGCGCTTATTCCGATATTTTAGGATGTATTACGTGCTTACGCTGATCACACGTCTCGAATTATTTTTCCAGTCGTCATAAACACTAAAACCGATGAAGTAATTAATGGAATAGCCCAATCTGCGGAATCTGTAGACGGAATCTTTCCAAATGAAGTCGCGTTCGTTCCATCTTCTACCGTTCAAAACGGGCCAGCCACCGAGTTTCCTTAAGCTGTTTAATAATGGCGTCAAACCTCTTTGCTTGATAGCGGCTGAAAAAACAGCATTTAGAATTGAAAAAAAACTTTCTTGGTTTATCAATCCGTTGATTGATATTACAAAATGCTTTAACAGTAGGACTTATATAAAATAAATACGATGCAGTTATTCTTCTAATACGTTATGTGTTAAAGTATTTCAATTATAAGTAATACTTTTCTTTTGAGAGAAATATAGTAAGGTCAAAGCTTTGTATAATCTTATTAAATTATCAATATAGAATTTGCAATTTTAATGTTAATGGTGCTATGATTTCGTTGGATTCATTAAAAGAGTTTATTGCGTTTTTCGAGTTTAGCGATTTAAAGGGAAAATTTCATGTGGTTGCTTACTTTTGTTCATGCAGGCCTTGTAGAGATCTTTGACAAGTCTAAATGGTCTCAATTCGTTTGGAGGACTCTGCTGCTCGATACTAAGACGTAGTTGTTCTTTGAGATCATCATCGATAATAGAGAACATAGACACACTAGTTTTGTCGTCAGAAATAATCTTGGATTCGAGGAAGCCACCACAGGCGAATTTGTAAAAGTCATCACAAGGGTGCACATTAGAATTCATGTTTTTTATTACTTCAGAGGCTACGGTATATGTACGTTGAACAGATTAGTTTTCGACATTCACAAGGCGAAATAGTGATTTCTTAGTGTTCGAGTGGAATGAGTTATAACATTAATTTTTTGCGTATAAAACATCAAAATTTATATTTTAGTTAAGTAAATATTTATATGTAGAATATCTTTGGTAAGAAAATATTTTGGAAA